TATTTCTGTTTTTCCATTTCTGTATATATCCAAAAATGGCCATATATGCCACAGATATGTTGGAACCGAATTGTGAGTTTCTGTTACCGATTTTGTATTTTGTTGCATTGAACAAGTGTTGTCCCACAAGGATTTTCATCCCCTCTAATATTAAAGGGGAGAATTCTCATGACTGATGTTTAATCCAAGCAAGACAGAAAGCTTGAGGATTAAAACATGTAATTCCAAGTTGTAGATGGCTAGCATACAAGAACACAAAGTTGAGTCTGTCTGTTTACTGGCTTACTCATCTTTTTGAATGATAATTTAGACTTCCAACTGTTTTGAGTTGAGATTCAGCCCTTTAATTACATATGTTTATGTGTAGTAGCAACTTGAAGACATTATGGTAGAGTGTTCTCTACTTTTGGTAATGACCCAACTATCACTCGAGTGTTTGGAGCCAGCTCTCAGTAGCCAGTTTCACTCATTCTTCTGTGCTTTTGTAGTTTCCAAACTATTCTCTCTGTCTAAAACTACTATGTTTTTTCCAATAATTAGCAGAAAAATATTTTGATAATTAGCAGTAACTGTGTATTACAGCACTTATTCATCTTAATAGATTTTTTTTTTTCCTAGCTGTAGGTGAAAGACATTCACAAACAAGTCTTTATTCATGTTGCAGTCATTACAGGAATGTTGTTTATCTCATACATTTGTATACAGCACATGAAGCCTGTGGGTGTGCTAAATATCAGCAGACTTCAGTTACTTTTATCTACTTGAGAAGGATGGGTAGCACACCAGTTTTAGATATGCTGCCTACGTTGGTCCTCCACTTTTTTATGAAACTGTTTGCTTCAGGAAGGAAGGATACAAACATACTTAGTTTTAACCTTCCAAAGGAAATTAAATCTTTAGCCACTTTTAACAGAGTATTAAAAATGAGATTTTATTTTTCAATAGCATCCTTCAGTGATAGTGAAATGGGTTTTTTTTAAAATGTTTTCAGTGTCATTTTCAATTGCCAAGGTGTTTTTTATTACCTATAATTGATTTAGTTAATCGTATGTAATGAAAACTAGAAGAGTAAATACTCTTTGGTACTTACATAGCTCAGTATATGCCTCCATATGTTTTGTTTCTCACTTTGAGGACTGTCTGAAAATAATAATACAGACAGTATAATAAATATATATAGTAGTATGTACATTATGTAAATCTGTGTCTAATATATAGAGTACTATTGGTACTATCTACAATATACTATATATTTAAATAAAGACCATATTATAGATAGCATTTGGACATAGGCAGTCTTAATTATGTTAGTTCCAGTTTTTGCATGTTTGAGCTGGCAAACCTAAATTAATGCCATTTTAGTTCGTGCATTTTTGTATGTACTTGAAATCAGAAAATGAATGTTGAAATTCAAAATCTTCGGTTCCATTACAGTCATTGGAGGGGATGTGCTTTTTAATTGGTACAGACTTTTCTGCAAGTTTGACTCTACCTTTTTGCCTTCACATTTTCATAGCACAGTCACCTCACTTTTCTGTCCTTAGCAGCTTCTTTTGCCTTCCTTCTCCTAAACTAACTACTCTAGTTTAACTATGCTTTAGCTATCCTCCAAGTTTTTCTTTCTCACACAGGTTCCAGTCTTTTTCCTGTCCCATTTCCACTTTTCTTGCTTTATCCTGTAGTCTTTTGTTCCAGGCGTCTCTTCTGTAAATAACTTGCTACCTGCCATATTTTTGTATTGGATTTTGTCTCAGTGAGGTAATGTCTTTTTCACCTTGTCTGAGGAATAGGATGAGGCATTATCATGTCTACGTTATGAATGCCTCACACATAGATCTGTAGATGTGGTGCTTAGAGATGTGGTTTAGAGGTGGACTTGGCATTGCTGGATTAATGGTTGGACTCGACCTTAAAGGTATTCTCCAACCTAAATGATTCTATGAATACAGGAGAAAAAGCTTTCCATTTAGCAGGTGTAGAGGCAAGAGATAGCTGTAGCCTATCAGTATCCTCAATGCATAGATTTTCCATGATTTTTTGCTTTAGCATTGTTGTAATTTTTTACCCTTCTCCCACTGCACTCTTATCCCTCCCACATGTAGTGTGGCCAGATGCCTTACATTTTCACAGGAATACTAAAAGGATATCAAAGGTCTTGGTTTGCCAAGTTTTAAGTCTTGTCTGGAAAAAGTAGTATTTTCCAGCCATGTGCGTCTTTAGGCAGACACCCAGCAAAGAAAATTTCAGCCTCCATGATCGAAGTGTGATAGGAGTAAAGATGAGAGGATGGTTTTGTCAGGAGTAAGATGAGGTGGTCTTAGAGCAGACATTGCTTCTAGTCTCTTCTGATATTAAGGTAGCTGGACACATTCCTTGGAGCTACAGCTGAGAAAGTTAAGAAGACAAATAGCCTGTTAACCCCTGCCTCACCGTCATCATGATCATAACTTGGATTTCAACCATGTCCCTGAGGATGGGGGTTTCTTTGATCTGGTAGTATTTGCATCCAGCTATGAGCCAAGTGAAGTATCATAAGCTGCTGTACTTCATCAGGCTCCCCAAGTTCCCATCATCTGCTTCTGTCCTCCTTGTTTCTCTTCCAGCTTTTGTGCTAAATTCCCTCTTCCTGTGTCCATCCTGCTGTAGCTCTTGCCTCTAAACACTGAGAATGGCTCTCATTCCGTCCAAGACCTAGCTTGAGTTTAAAAAAGCAGTGAGGTTGGACTGCAGTTTCGCTTTTGAGTCTCCATAGTATATGGAGGTTTGTTAAGCGTAATGTCATCTCCTTGACCTGTGAGCAGTCTGACTTACATAAGTATTTGTAGACTTACGGTCAATATTTAGGTTTGTACATCATGGAATACACACCTGCGTGCTGTAGTATCCACTTCATTCCTCTTTTGTTTCTTTTACACGTGTCTGTCAAGCTTTTGAGGAGTTCCACTAAGAAAACAAAACTTATCAGCAGAAATACGTACTTCTTCTCTTCTCTTTTTCAAATAAAGAAATTGCAGTATGCAAGAAAGTTCTCAAGTTAAGGTGTCCTCACAAAGACCCCTGCCTAATATCAATTCTTTCATGCCTGTGTTAAGGACGGTCCAGTACAGTTAAGTCCGTGATACTTGCTGTGACTTTATATCATAGAGACAGAGGCAATTTCTTAGATAATTGTGTCCCAAAATGTTTAGGTGTTCAGACATACAAATCAATGCCTTGAACTAAGGCTTTAGGCTTGTTACGAGCTGGTAATATTAAAGAGAATTGCTTTAATGTATTGTTGGTATGCAGCTGCATTTCAGAAGGTCAGCTACGAATATGTGTCTTGTACAATTAACACCAGCAACAAAGGTGTAAAAGAGGAAGCAAAAGCAGCAGGGTAGAGGGCACCTACGTGTGTTGGGTGTTTAGAAATTTACTGTGTCTGCTGCAGTTCCTTGGAGAATGTTTAAAATGCATTCCAGTAAAGTTGTGGATGGTAGTTGAGATTTCAGGACCTTGAATTTGTGAAGAACAACTACGTCACGCCAATATAATTCTGTGAAAGATTAGCATGCCTTGTAAAGTCATATACATGTCATATAACATGACTTTTGTAAAATGTTAACATTAACTGGAGTAAGTGACATGTACTTCACCAAGAGTAAGTACAAGGTTTTGTGTCAGTCAAATGTGTGGGACAGCTAGGAGCTCTATCAAAACAAAGTTATGGTGGATTGTAAGTGAACAGGAATTCTGTTGCCATATTCATTATTATTGATTGGCGAACCTGATAAATCATTTTAGATTGCACATATGATCTGGATCAGCTTTGAAAAAGTGATAGCATTCCAGAACACGAGATATTATGCTTGTGTCTATTTCATGATAGCTCCAGGAAAACAAGTTACACTTTTGTCAGAGTAACCTTAAATGTTTAAATATATTTGCATGAGTAAAGAATTCTAGTAGTCAGTGTTTTGCAGTTGTAATGTTTAGTGCAATATGCCACATCGTAAATCTAATATACAGTCTCATTGAACCACTAGTTGAATTACCAGTGTCTTAGTTGTGTGTCAAAGGAGTAGTAGGACATTTACTCTATGTCTAGAATTGTGTCACAAGGAAGACCTTGGATCTGAAAGCACAAGCTGGTTGAAGTGATTTAGGCCAGAGAAGACTGAAGAGAGAGAAAATAGTGTTCAAATACCTAAAAGAATTTTGCTGCTGAGAAGATTAAAAAAAAATATAGTCAATAGGGTGAGAAACAATGTGCTTAACCTATAGGAACGGCTGCATTAAATGCTAGAAAAAAATCTTCCAACTATAAAAATATTTAATTCCCTTTTATTTGGATGAAAATAGTTTGCTTACAGAGGTTTTGAGATTACTAATTTTGGGGGATTGTAGAAAGAGTTTAGAGAAGTATGAGAAAATAGCCTAAGTAGACCTGATTCTGCCCTGAGGCACAAAGAGAGCTAGGTGATTTCCTGGGGCAGCCCCGTGGGGAGTGTGTGTGATTATTTTATATTTAATAATCCGACTAGTTTTCATGTCTGAATTTCCTCAGTTAGGGTATTTTACAGTAAATCTAATCCTGAAGTCAGAGTGGCGTGGGTAATTGTGGCATGCTTACCATTGAAGAGAAAATGTCATGTTCCTCCTGCCAGGTGCAGATGGAAAAATGTGCCTGTGGCTACTGCTGTTACCTTGGCATACTAGAGCAATCCGGGATCTAATACTCATCTTACCCTCACAACACAGACACATTTTGCAAATGGAGATCACACTCTTTATATGGGCAACAGTACAAGTTCCATCAATTGCTCTGACTGCTTTCTTCACCCGATGGTTATTACCTGCCACCCTTTGTTCATGCCCATGGTTATATTGCCATTCTGTATTTCCTTATATGTGCTGGATAAATATGCATAAGCTATATGTATTTCACCTAAGTAATTTTATTTACTCTTGACTCATTAAATGGCAATGTATAAAAGAGGCAATGTCTTGCATTTCTCTAGAATGTCAGCTAATGAAGACAGAGCGACCAAAGCCAAACACGTTCATTATCAGATGTCTTCAGTGGACAACTGTCATAGAGAGGACGTTCCATGTAGATACTCCAGAGGAACGGTGAGGGGTTTATTTTTGTTTTGCTTTCCATGTTCTTTATGCTGAAGCCTCAGCACAGTCTCTGCTGGGACTGCACAGCAATCGGCGCTTGGAACTGTGACATTCTGAGCACATCTGAAGAATTTATAAGTCAGCTTCTGTAAAATATTATCTGAGCTCATAGCTAGTGTAAGAGTTGCCTGTGAGTAGGTGGGATGACTGTGTTCAAATAAGCCAAAACAATGTCACGATATGTCTCTGAAGTGTTAAATTTTGAACAATAGAAGCCTGCACTGAAATATTTTTCAGTCTTGCTGTCTTAAATTTTCCTTTCATTCCTCCTAATACACTCCCTTTTTTTCTGGCACAGAAAGCAATGTGTTTGTTATAATCTATTTTATGTTTGCTAAATTAGTTTTTCTTGTTTCAGTAAACATACAAAAACTCTTAAGAATTAACTTTTTTAATGCACCAAAGGCAGGTAGGAGACAGGGAATGGTGTACTTTGCTAAAATGTTTTATTCTGTGGTTTTGGTTAGATGCGCTGAGGCTGGATTTGATCTCAGAGGTCTTTTCCAGCCTCAATAATTCTTTGATTCTGTGATTCCCACTGGGCACATCTGCCCTGTTGAGACTAATGCTACGTTGTGGCTTTATTCATATTTGTATCGATAAATAACTGACAACTTTGCTTTTTCTGCTGTTTCTCCTTTGTTAGCATATTCACTTAATTTTTATTTTTTTTATTTTTTAATTTTTATTCTGTATTGGAACTCTTTCTCTCCCCTAGCTTTCTTCTGTGTATGCAGCACAGTACCTCGTGCTGCATTCAGCAATACCACCAGACCTCTCCTTGGACCCCTCGCTGCCTGAGCAAAAAGCTGCCGTTCTGTACCTGGTGTGGGGCAGTGGGGGCTGATGGGCCGGCCAGTGTGTCTGCGCTGGTGGCCAGCACGCAGAACAGCCGGGGACTCGGCCAGCCCTTGCTCCTCCCTCCACCAAAACCCTCGTCTGGGCCTGCCCCTCTGTGCAGCCACTGTTTCTTTTGCTGCTTGTAGGAATTTAATTATCTTGGAGGGCCTCTTTCTCAGGGGAAGTTGAAAGTAGCCGAGAAGTTGAGTTTTAAGGGGAGACAGAAAGAGTTGAACACATGGCGTGGTTTGATTAATCTTATTTATTTCCTGTGAAAGTGTCTTGCAGGAAGGGGGAATACCAAAAAGTCTTAAAGTAGCAAGTTATTATCAGATAGTATCAGATAGGAGATGACATTTTATACTCTTAAGCTGTATTATATCTGGAGCAAGTGTCCTCGAGTTTTCGCTATTAAAATATTTATAAAATAGGTCATTGGTAATTCTTGAAATTAACTGTACGTTGATCCTTTTTGATGCTGGTCAACTTCACCACCTTTATTGTAATACAGAGTCTATAAGGAAGTTGAAACAAATAATTTCTATGAGTCATCTGTGTAACATGAGAATTAAACACTGGAGCAACGTAGAATGCAGAAAACATTACAAACCATTTATTTGAATGTGTTCTATAAGTTTCTAATAGAGGTGTTGACTTGTTCGTGGTAGGGAGGAATGGACAGAAGCAATCCAAGCTGTAGCAGACAGACTTCAGAGACAAGAAGAGGAGAGGATGAACTGTAGTCCAACTTCACAGATAGACAATATAGGAGAAGAAGAGATGGATGCTTCAACAACTCATCATAAAAGAAAGGTAATGACAAAAAATAACTGAGAAGCTTAACATGGAAATACTTTTGTAGAATGATCTGGTTGGTTAAAACAATATACAAGGAATAGTTTTCCTACATAAATTTCAGTGCAATACAAGCATAAAAGTACTTATTTGTTTTATTTCAATAAGACTGAACTGTTCTAGTTTTATTTATTTGTTATGCTCTCTGATACAGCACTTCTGAAAAACAAAGTTCAACTGTTCAGACATATGTTAGCATTCTACTTACTGTTTGAATATTATTTTTGTCTTTTCCTTTTTGTTTGTTTACTCTTTTAGAAGTATGGTGATAAAATATTTTCTTTAGTCAAGTAGATTTACCCACTTTCTCATGCAAATAATATCCAGTACAAATTAGATAATTTGCATGAGAAAGGCTAGTAGGATTTGGCTTTTAATGACCTTGTTTTTTGCTATCTGAGAAGATAACTCTGCTTTAGTTTTCTGAAGTAAGAGAAAATAGTTTATTTTTTTGCAGTCCTTCACTTCTGGTGTAAGTAGGAATAAGTACATGGTTGTCTATAACATACTTGTATCTCTGGAGTCAACAGGATAAACACACAACTAAAAGCATGTTTTAAAGATTCAGTGACACACAAAAATTTGCTTATTTTGTGTTCCCATTTCGTCCTAATGCGGACTAGTCTTGAAGAATGGATCATTCAAACAGGCATCTCTCATCTGCTATAGAGGATTGACATGACTGTAGAAACACACTGAAATTGCGTGAGAAATAATAACCTGTTTCTGTAAGACTAATGTTGTTCTTTCTAGCTAGAAGTGAAACGTGGAGAAAACCAAGTGGAAGTCTTCTGACAGAGCAAAGTAGTCTTGTAGGCTAATGTAACTGAATGGCTTTGAATGGTGAACAATGAAAAGAAATAGTGAACATGTACCTTTACTCATAGAGCGTGTTTTGTTTGTTGCACTATATGAAGCAAGAATAATTGAAAAAGCAGTGCTGAAAACTATACCCTTATGAATATAACAAGTGTCACAGGAAATCTTAGTTCTATCTCATCATAACTTTTGAGAACTGGAGTTCACAGTGCAAGCGTAGTTCTTTCGTGTTGTTACTCTGTATGCAATTTTCTAATCTTTTTTCACCTTAGAGAAAGGTAAAAACTAATTATATACAGCTGTAACAATACTTTCATCACACATTGTCAGGTTGACATTGAACTTTTTCAGCCTTATGGCATGGATGTTTAATGATTGTGCTCCAGGGTAAAGTACGCTAAGTGACAGCAAGACCGAGGCAGCATTTGAGACGTCAGTCTTTCTGAGCAGCAGCGTGATTAGTAGAAAGGATTTGGGTTTGCACTGTTAAAGATCTGAGTACTGTTCCAAGCCTGTGTATCCTCTTAGCAGTGTACAAAATGACTGCCTAACAACAAGCATTTTGAAGGTGTCAAAATTAATGCTAACATAAGTAGTTTATCTGGAAATGTATGCAGCGCATTTTCCCGTAGGACAAAAGGGGTTGTGGGAACAAGAGACGGAGGAAGAACAGTTTTGTTTCTGTCTTGCCGCTTATGCTTTGAGAAACGCTGAAATAAGATGCTGGGACAGTGGACGTTCAGGGCTGCAGGATGTTTAACGGCTTTGGCAGCAAGCCAAAAGCAAACACAAAAAACCCCAAAGGTAAAATGAAAAATTGTGATATTCAACACCTAATAATAGAGTGGAATGGAGTTTTGTAGCCAGTGAAGAGCATACTGGTGAATGCAAGGATTTTTTTTTTCCCTAAAACTCAAAATCTCACTGCACATTTCTGACTGTTGGAAGACTTCAGTGAAAGGTTCTCAGAAGTTTTTGAAATCAAAAATATGAAGTGACCATAATGACAGGGAGTTGTCACTCCTTCTGTGTTAACTGAAATAAGGAAAAAAGTGGTTTTTTAGGACTGTTTCTGTTTTGTAGAAATGTTTCTGAAAAGCTTCTGTTTAAGCTTTTGTAATTGTTGGTATAATCAGAGCCATTTCAGTTATAATAACTTTATATGCAATTTTTATGCAATTTTATTGCTTTTATTTTGGTATTGGATTTCTTTTCATGTCAGAGATTTTTTTGCATAATGTGTCCTACAAGCTTATTTTGTCACCTGGTTTTACATTTAAGCCCAGTGAATTTTGCTTGTGCGTGCACCAGATGGTATACATATGAGTAGAAGAGCATAATCAGGTTAAGAGACAAGATAGAGAGGAGTGGGCCTGTTCCCTGAAAAGGTAGCTAAAGGTTTATAAAGAAAACCGTCCTTAGGATGCAGGCCTTGATTTGAACAGACGTGACAGCAGTGTCCCTGGCCAGATTAACTGGAAAAACTGAAGTAACTTTTTTTTTTCCACCCCTATTTTTAAAATGGTGTCAGTGTGCCACTTAAGTTTTACAATAAGAGCATGGCTTAAATTCAGAGCACTAGAAAATCGTAGCAAACTGCTTTTATTTCTTGCTGTACTGTTTCTCGTAAGTACAGTTTCTTCCTGAAGAAGTCAGAAAACTCCACGTGGTATAATCTTTGCACAAATCAGGAATTTAGTTCCTTGGTAGGAATTTTCAACATCCGTAGTAGAGTGTATTCTTTTGACCAGATCATCCAGAAGGGAGTAGACAGGCTTTACAGAAGGCTGAACATTGTGTGGTTCTTTGGTTATTGCAGTTTCCTGTAGCTCCATTACTTTTTCTTTTGTTTACAAATTTGTTTTGCAGGGTGTGGATTGAGTAGAGAATAGATTTTTTGGAGGAAATTAAAAGTAATATAATGAGGTAAAAGATTCAATCCTCAGAGATTATAAAGAGTGAAAAAGGTGGGGAAATCATCAAGGAGAAAGGATCCAGTCTTACGGGAGCCCCCATACTTGCTTACCAGCATCCCTCAGGTTTAGGAGACATTTCCATTTTTCCACCAGTTTTCAGTACACCCTTAGCTATGGCATCTGTGTTTTTATCTCCCAAGGTCTTGTGTTCTTTGGCAGACTTTTTGAGTTACTCTGCACTGGGTATCATCTCTAAGCTTTCTGCTGAGCTTCTAAAGAATGTATTTTGAATGCATTTTGGATTTTTCGTGTGTTTCTGTCAATTTTCACAAAGGTAGTTGTTTTTGCGTGGTGGTTATCAGAGAAATATTGAAGTAGGTAACCTGACTTTCCAAAGTAATACCTGTGGTATTTGAGAGGTATTGGTTTTAGTTGATTAAGTACTAGTAGCCACATAGTATTTGCATCACAACTTTACATACTCCATGATACTTCACTAGTTGTAGCACAATATACTGGCTTTTGGGAAGGCCGACCATTTAAGGATTTGTCTATGTCATAAACTTCACACTCATGTGTAAAGTGAGGTTGCTTTGAGTAAAAAGTATACTGAGCCTTTGATGTGAGGTAGTTTTGGCAGCAAACCAAGATCTGTCACTGCAAAATGTTTAAGTATGTTTACGTGTGAGCACAGAATGGAATTCACCAGGTTAGTTTGCTTAGGAGCTACCAATCAACCATTGTGTGGGAAATTGATACAGCTGGAAAGTTGATACATTGAAAGCTCCTTCTTCTTAATAAAGCTTTGAAATATCCAGCTGTCCAGGTGTTACCTTAAGTAGTCTCTTGGAGACATTTTGCAGCTTTTAAGTTGCAGGTTGAACACTTGAAAGCGAATGAATTACAGCATTAATGTGGTTGATGGCACTTCATTTCTACCCCTTACGTGAGCAGATTTCAAACTGGCTCAGAGTGAGAAGTTGCATAAATTATTTTTACAGTTTGTTGACAGTAACTTCCGATCCACAGTATTAGTATCGTGCTTAAAGAAATAAATAATTGCGGAAGGAAATTTTACCCTTTGTTCTTTCTCACAAGAGAGAATGTATTTTGCTGCCACTATTTGTGATTGCTCACTGGGGATATGCCCAATAGCTCTAGCATTGGAATGTGCGTGAGATGTGTCAGAGGTGTTTCTGGTAGGGACAAGGAAAGTACTAATTCCATTGTGGAAGACCAAGTAGAAGTTTTTCTGGAATGCCAGTAGTCAGGAAAACTGCCTGAGGCTGCAACTAGCGATAGAGACACTGGGAAGATGAAAGATAAAGCGTGATCTTTTCTTCTCCTTACACATAACAGGATTAAGTGTATTTAACATATCAAAATTGAGACTTCTAGTACATATCCTCTTTAAAAATGTTTTGAGGTGTATTATTCATAATGGAAGGAAGGTTATTGATACTGCAAAACAGTACTATAACAAGAAAAGGTGAATGTGTTCTCTTTCAGAGCTTCTAACTGCTTTCCTCTAGGTTCCTGGGTGTGTTAATGGTGTGTGGATGTGTGTGTGCCTGGATATCTGGTACTGCAACCAAGCCAGTAGCACAGTGCACTGGAAGATGTGCTGTGGAAACACACAGTGGTATCCAATGATTGGCTCCAAGTTGGCCCAAGAAACCCTGCTGTCACTCCAAGGTGACCCTGTGTAGTCACTGCGTTCTCAGTATTGTGCTGTTTTTCCACATCCTCATCATTGCATCCAGTGCACAGACTACAGCAATGATGCTTCTGAACTCTCTGTGAAATGAACTTTCAGAATTAAGATGATTATTGACTCAAGCTTTGTGCTCATGAAAGTGGCTAAACTGCTTTGGGATCTGAGATCATCTGTTATATATTTTTTTCACGTGTGACGGGTCAGTTGAGCTGATAAACCTACTAGACTCAGATTGCTTTTGGTGGAACCAGATCGTGGATGTACTATGTTTAACCTGCAAAACTAGGTCAATACTAGACTCTCGAATGGTCACTATAGTGGAGTGACATGGAAGAGGAAAACCTACCATCTCTTCCTTTTCAGAGCCTGATTGATTAATGTAAAAACCATGTAATTATATTGTGTAGTCAGCGTTTTAAAACTCTACTTCCAGTGCAAAGAATATTGTAGAATATTACTGGTATAATATTGCAGTGAGGATCATGTATGTTTCAGAAAAGCTATGAGTGCAGTGGTTGGTGTTATGCAAAACCTACTAGTATGCCACGTTCTTGTGACCCTGGTAACACAGGCATTCGTGCGCTTTCTTAAATGCAGAGCACTTATGAAATGCTTCTAAGACTTTGTTCTCTTTGCACTTTGTAAAAATAAGTGTGTAGTATACTGTGCAGCACTTGACTTTAGAGGACTAGAACAGTATCATGAAACAATATATCGTAGTGGTTTAAGGACACAATTAACTATTACAGACTTAATCATAGAAGCATGCCTATTTCTGCAGACTGTTCTTATTTTATTGGTAACATCATTTGGTTATATGTGATCACACTCATGTGCATCCTGGAAATGGATAGTGTAAGTCTTGCTAATCCTTGTTCTTTGCTCCTTATAGACAATGAATGATTTTGACTATTTAAAACTACTGGGCAAAGGCACGTTTGGCAAAGTTATCCTAGTCCGAGAGAAGGCTAGTGGGAAATACTATGCTATGAAGATTTTGAAAAAAGAAGTCATTATTGCAAAGGTAAGGAAGGTTATAGTTGCAATATTGGGTCATTTTTTTATGGAATAATCACCATTTAGTACGTAAAGTGTCTTAGATTTTCGGTGGTGACCGAGTTTGCATGAAATATGTGTCTTCAGAAAACAAGAAGAATAGTACCCATTTTCTATTCCTTTTTCCAGTGTCTTGTAATCTAGAGCGTACTAAAGCATTGAGAGAATTCTCTGGGCAGGAAAATGGTGCAATCCAAGTTGAAAACAAGAAATTAATTGTAGGGTATATTACATAACTTTATTTTTTTTTCAAGTCAACTACACGTTTATCGAGGTAAATGCAGTTGATTTAATGGGCCTGTGTTCCATTCATGCTATGTTAGATAAGATTGTTTTGCATGGGACTAACAGTTTCATTTTTTCAGTTCTTGTTCCTCCAAAATGCTCTGAAGCTGATGTCTGAAGAAGGGGTTTATACTGACATTGTCTAGTCACTTAAGCTTGATTACCTTAGTGTTGCTATGTCTTATGCTTGATGATAATTTCACTAAGTTTAAACTTGAAGATCATCTACTCTTTGTTTCTAGCCATTCTGAAGTTTTGAATCTCATTTGCACAGAAAATGTTGAAGGTACATGCTCTTATCACCATGACACACAGTTAAAAATAATCCCAGTTATTAGGTATGAAGATTTTTGAGGGATGTGGGTCTCACTGAGATTTTCGAATGCTTGAGACTAACAATACTAGTATTTATAAAAACTCAATGTGGATCGGAATCACTGTGGTTTACATATATTTTATTTTAAAATGCCCATCAGATTTTTCTAATTTTCATACTGGGGTATGAAAACAGGGTTTACAGAGTTCTGCAGTCTACATTCATTTGTCTGTAAGTCACTCTCTAATAACTTTTGAATCTGTTTATCAGTTTCAATTAAATTTCACAGAGGAGTAGAAACCTCAAAGACAATTATAGTTCCTTGAGTTTCATTAAAACCAGCCCTGGTTTATGTCTTCAGCAGAGAAGAGACTGACCTGTGAGTTCTGTGTGCCCTTAGCAGCTGTCTTTGCATGCACAGGCAGGCTAGTCAGCATGTATACGATTTGGACTAGTGGCAACAGAGAGTACCCTTCTTCATAATCAGGAGGTAAAGAAAAAAAAGAGAGTATTGCTGCTGCGTTCTCCTGATTCTGTATGGGAAGGAGCATCTCAGTGGCCTTCTTTTTAAGACTTTATAAACTCTGCTCACACGTGGCATCCAAAGGGTCCTTGGAGAAGTCTGACTCCTGTGAGCTGCTGTTCTACTGCCGCTTGTTTATACCTTACCAGCCTTCAGAGCATTTCAGCTTGTTTCTTTGGATCAATAAAATACAAACAGCATTTTTGAATGTTAGAGGTTTTCCTTTCACTTTGCTGGCTGCTACACTATGACAGAATTTTTAGAAGGGTTAAAACTTATTCTTGGGTAATTTTGTTACTTTTGTGTGAAAATTCTTGTTCACGGAGGTATGTATAAAACTAGAGAAATTTTGAAGAGATAAGTGTGCAACTATTCGTTAATCTGTTTACCTGGAAACAGAAAGCTGGCTTAGTGATAGATTGGGCAGAACCTGGCACTCCCTGAAGCAGAGAAGGGTCTTTGTTTCTGCCTATTTGTAGACTAACAAGAAGGTTAAGTGTGTGAGGAAAAATGCCTTTTATCCTGTGATGAAAATGGGGGTGCCTCAGTCTTTTAAATTTGACTTCCTCAGAAGTGGAGTTCTGTTCTGAAGGGAGTCCCTCTATGGGACCACTACTATGGTTGTATATTGACAAGTCACAGAATTGTAGAATAATAGAATATTTGGGGTTGGAAGGGACCTCTAGAGATCATCTAGTCCAACCCCCCTGCCAGAGCATGATCCTCTAGGGCAGCCACACAGGAACGTGTCCAGCTGGGTTCTGAAAGTCTCCGGAGAAGGAGACTCCACAACCTCTCTGGGCAGCCTGTGCCAGTGCTCTGTCACCCTCACAGTGAAGAAGTTTCTCCTCCTGTTGAGGTGGAACTTCCTATGTTCTAACTTAAACCTGTTATTTCTTGTTCTATTACTGGGCACCACTGAGAAAAGAGATGGTCTCCTACCCCTTGACACCCAGCCCTCACCCACCCCTGATGAAAGAATGAAAAATGGACTATGCTTAGATCTTCACAAGTGAAGTGATAGTGTTTTTTTCCCCTATGGTCACCAAATATCAGTTTTCCCACTCCTCTTCAACCTAAAAAAAAGCAGACTTGAGGCTGAAATCATCAGTCAGTGTATATGCCATGTGGTTTTATCAATAGTATTTAACTCTGGAGATCAGTGCTGAGGATACGGTCACTAGGTAGAACAGATCTGCAGTTCTGAGTCAGCGTATAATGTGATACAATGCAGACTGCAGAGGGCCCTACCTGAAACAGCATAATATGAAGAAAAGTGGTACCTTGACAGCTGTTACTAGAAGACTGTACAGCATCTGCCTACTTCAGACTAAATCTGTTGATCTAAATTTTCATGACAAATTAGTATTGCACTTACTAGGAAGCTGCTATCAGTATTAAAAAATAAATAAATAAACAAACAAACTTCAGGCTTGCTTTTGTCCTTGAAATGTTTTTCGTTTTTCCCCCAGTGTGTGGTTGTAGTGTATACACTCAGTCTTGCTTTACCGTGCAGCTAAATGGCATCGTAATTTATTACCACTAACTGTTTTTGCTGTCAAACTTCCTATTTTGACAATTTTTAAAGTATTATTCCAAACTCCTGACATCTGTGTTTACTTACTAGTTTAATAATACCTTATCACAGTCTGATAAGCATGTGTAATACAGTAATGCCATGTTGTATTACTTGTAGCAGTAATACAGCATATTCTGACTAAATATATTTTCTTCTGTAGGATTACGGTTGAAGTTTGAGTTGCACTAAGTTAGTCTTCAATTCTGTATAATATCATACTTAGTGGTGATAACCTGGCGTGACAGAAAATGGCTAAACCAGCCCAGTGGCTCTCAGGCTTTTTAAGTCTGGCAGCCTGGGCAGGAAGGATTCACAGGATGTGTTACACCCAAAAGTGCCTAAGATGGCTGTGTATTCATAAATGTGAGCCCCCCAAGCACCCTGCTTTTCTCCCTAGTCCTCAGGAGCTGCTGGCTGCTGTGGCGCAGGATGTGCCTTCTTCCTGCCGCCCTCAGCCCTGCACCCACCCATGCTCTGCAAACCCAGTGGCATGAGGGGCCCTAGGCCTGCCCCTGGGGCCTCGCCATGACGCCCCTGGCCTGCTTCTTGCCTCTGGGGTGCCTCCTGCCTGGCAGACCCCCCCAAAATCAGGCCGGCAATGGGGCAGGGTGGTGCGGACATCTCCCGCTGCCCATGGACGAGGCCTGTGTCCTCGGTGGCGGAGGCTGGGCCCGGCCTGGGGAGCACTGCAGGCCTGGCTCCTAAGGACAGCCCGGCCACATTAGGGAGGAGGTTTGGCATGGATACTTGGTTTTAAAGAAAAAACAGAATGAACGCCCAGCTAAGTGGGTGTCCAGAAACAGAAAATCTGTTTTTTCTTAACACTAGGCTAGAGTAGACTAGGTTTTAGAGTTGCCTGTCAGTTACTACTTGTGTACATTTCTTGCAAATTGGTTCAGTCTCTCTGTGATGAATCTTTCAGATGATTCATACCAGAACTGTAAAGTCGTGATGACAGTATTTTTAAACTATCAAAACCAATATTATAATTTTTATCCTTTCCTGCATTGGATATAAAATTAAAGGTTTTATCTTAAGGTGAGAAAACAAGAAAATGGAAGCATGTTAAATTGTATTTTGCCAAGCCTAAATTTTCTTTAAAATCTTTTCTTAAAAAAACATGAATTATTTTTCATGTTCGGGTTCATTCATTTTCCAAAACTGTACAATAGCTTTCTCTTTTCAAAAGTTTCGACCATGCTGTCATAATTAATTGAATAGCAATGTGTCTTAATTCAGACCTACTTCTTCCACTCTTTGTTTCTCAGGATGAAGTGGCTCATACACTTACAGAAAGCAGAGTATTGAAAAACACCAGACATCCTTTTTTAACAGTAAGTATTAGGAATTAATTTTAAATACATTAGCAGGTAGGTCAACGTGATGGGTATTCTATTATGGACATAATTTACAAGCAAATTTTGAAGTCTTTCTCATGGTGATTTATAAACAAACAGTAGCTGTCTGGGGCTTGTGATATTTTGAGGCATGATAAATTATATTTTAATAGTTTTAACTTACAACTGACTTTCTTCTATAGAAGTTTTTCTGGTTCCTCTCCTTTGAGAGTATATTAGAAAAGCCTTTAATTGATTTCAAAAGAATTAGCGTGTATTATAAGGTAGCTCAAAAGGACATGGAAGCTTTCCTATTTAGAAAATCATAAACAAACCCTTTAGAAAGCAAGGGATTGTATTTATGTTGCTTGGCCAAAGTATTATTGGACATTCAATCAAAAGAAATGAGATCCCCCGAAGTTCCTTAAATTAGAGTAGAAAGGTAAGCAGAAGGCATAATTCCAATCAAATTGGGCAACAGTGTTACTGCAGTTGTATTTTAATACCTTTCTGATATTATTAAACAAACATTTTAAAGAGACATGCAGTATTTAAATTGCATGGATCTGCTCATGATTTTGTTATGTATAGTTCTACTGCATTTTGTTTCTTTTAGGCCAAGTCTGCATCTGTAGATTTTCTTTGATATAATTTTCCAAGCAAAATCTAATTAATCATTAATAAGTCAAAAATTTTAATTAAGATATATAATTTTTTTACCATTTTAAAATGATAGGTAAATACATATATTCATTTGGCACTCAGTGCTTTTAACATTGCATAGTATGTGAAACTAGAGAGTCCTTGCTTGGAAATAAAGACAGATTTCATTTGGTAGAAATTAAAAAGAGTAGGATAATTTCTCTCTTCATGGGCATTGGGGAAGTGGACATCATAGAATGTGATGAGTGAGAATAGTTGGTACTAAGTATTACAGCAGAGATTCAGTGTAAAATTGTGTATTTTAGTAACTATTTAGTTTTTATGTCAATGGCCACGTGGCAGAAGTGAGAGAAGAAATGAAGGTTTTTGTGTTATTTCATCTTAAGCTCCATACAGGAAGTTACACTTTTATTTACTCTCGAAGTTCTCAGAAAGTCAGATTTGTCTGCTTAAGAAGATACAATTATATTTTGTTACAGTTTAAGTGCGAGAAATTGGATTAATACAAGATGATAATTGGTTTGATTTTGTTATTTTCTTTGCAAGTCCTTGAAATATTCCTTCCAGACAAAGGATCGTTTGTGTTTTGTGATGGAGTATGTTAACGGAGGAGAGGTAAGTTTAAAAAAGATGCTCTGCACTTGTAATGCTAATGCTGTCACTGAGTTACCCTTTAAAAGACACAAATTTTCTCGCCTTTTTTGCTTTATGGTATCTTTGAATTTTTTTTTTCTTTTAAATTTTTAAAACTTTTATTAAAAAAAATGTAGATGTCGTTCGTAACTGTATTATCAAAAATAGTTCCTATTCTTGCAAAATTAGACTTGTACTGTGAAAGATAATTTCATGGTAGAGAATTAGATACAAATAGCTTGCTTACTGTTTTTTCTTCAAGCCTATTATGGCATGTTCTGGCATAAAATGATCATAATAAATGACCATAAAATGGTCATAGAGGAGTTGGGCTAGATGATCTCCACAAGTCCCTTCCAACCCCTGACATTCTATGATTCTATAATCTAGTGGAAACAAGCAAATACAGTGTTGACTAGTCTCACTTTTGACCTAATATGAAACATGTGCTCTCTTTTTTGCTATAACCATTGCAAATACGTATGAGAAAAGAATGGAATGTTCTTATTTTTCTTTACTTGTGTCCCCTTCACTTGCTGTGTACTCTGGAAATTTCAACTTAAGAGCTAAACTTCTTAGACTGTCATTAGCCTTTAAACAGTTGCTGTCCTCCAACTGTTTGCTGAAGAATGGAATATCAAAAACTATACCTGTCAAATGGAATTGAAGAAAAATGCAGTAGAAGAAGAGGGATTTTTATCTACCTTTTATGTGTCGTTTGTTGCTCACACTGTATCTTGTTCCAAGATGAACTATGGTGTTTTCCTTATTTTGCCTACTATATCCTGCATAATAATGTTAAAGGACTAAGTGTTTCCACTGGCTTTTTTTTTATTAAAAAAAATGTTTCTTCATCTGGGAATTTCTGCAGCATGCTACCATGTTTTACATTATGTTTTTTGCTGTGATCCCCTTCAGTAAAACTGTTTTCAGCTATAACTGTAATGCCTAAGCAGCCCCAGAGTGCCTGTCTTGTGTTTGTTGCTCTGGTCATTTCTTGGTCCAGTCTGGGGCCCATTTACATCCTAACTCATCCATCGTCATCCTCTACCAGCCATGGCGAAGCGTGGGGCTGTAGGGTTCTCGTATGGGAGGATACCTTGTTTAACTCAGTATGAATAAACCCAGTTTGGGACGTCACATCAGGCGTTGAACCGTTTTGGCTAGCTGAACTAGACACAGACATCTCCTTCAGCAGTAAATGGGGTAACAGCCTTTTCTCGGACACTGCTGTCTTATTTGGCGTTGAGCATATGTCACCAGTATTAAGTCAGTGCTATCTACAGTGAGTTTTGAAAGTGATGCCATGTAAACTAAACTAGCTAATTCTGCTTAGTTTTTGTTATGTAAGACCATATTGCATTTCCGTAATCTCAGGGGATACACTTTGAAAATATGTTTTTAACACCAGCCTATCATTTAGATACTTGTCTTTTTGAAAGATAACTTTGTGTGCTATCTGAATGCAGAACAGAGCCCACAGGGAATGTTTTCAACTCCTTTCTTAGGAGTGAGGATACTCTGATGCTGTGGTTTGTATCATGTATCAGGCATGTATCTTGTTTGCACTGGGTGCTGCGCCTTTGTGGCAACTGCTGCCGGCATCTTTTGCTTATTGGGATTTGAGTAATGGCAATGTACCTTGCCAAAAGTGGGTCGCTTTTTTCCCAGGTATGATGCTCTTGTTTGTCAGTGTTGTTTATGTTCTTTGCTGGTGGTTCTCTACTTTAGTGACGCTAGTGGTAAATTTTTGCCATGGTGGGAACTAATGGGCTTTCAGAGTAGGCAATTGTCTTTGAAGAAACTCGCTTGATTTACTTGTGTGCTTCTCTTTGACTGGAGATCTGGAAGAGTAAGTTCAACAATCTGTCCTTTTTAATAGGAAAATCTTTTATCAAATTTTTCTGTGAATTTCAGACTTTAGTCACTGCTAAGAAATACAAAGGACTTAATATTTGTAAAAATAGCCTTGTTAATAACTCAGAACTACTGAAAGTAAGTTGCACAAAGTTTAGCAAGCCTTTTAGCCATTTTTAAACATATCTCCTATATGATATGCAGACTTTTTTCTTTTACTGCTTCCCTCTCCTGTTCTATCTGTGGTCCAAGGAAGTTTCATTTCCTTACAATGGTTTCTCACAGTTGAATGTGTTGAAAAAACGTCTTTTAGTTATATCCTTCCAGTGGGAAATTGACTGTGGCAGTACCATGTTGCTTTTGATTCTCTCCAGAGAGGTACTACCTTCAGTGTGTTTCTGTTTAAAATTCTTTAGATTAAAATTTTCTTTAGATTAAAGTTGTGCCTGAGTCAGTTGCTTGGGAATCTTCACAGATTGTGTCTTTCAGGAGCACATTACCCAAACAGTCCTTTGAATGAAGGAGTTCTTTAAATCTGAATCCATTTTCTTGACTCTCACCCATGTGAAAGCAAGAAAATGCCACAACTCAGGCTTCTGCCCTACTGTGGTAATAAGAAGTGTAGTCAGTACTAGGAGTCTGCAGTTCCTCTTCCTGTGGTTAAGAAGGCAAACAGTCAAGGAAGAGGTCACTGAATTTGTGGGGGAGAAGAAACTGTTTTAAAAGAGTCTAAATAAAAATCTTCTATACCTATTAAAAATCTAGATCCACGATGAATTTAATATTCAACCAGCATAGAGGTGATTTATCTTTGCCTAATCTTTTCTGTGTATCTTCCAGTTAGTTAGGCTCAGTTAATAACGGGACATGTTTTAATGAAAGTGTAACTGCATCAGTTTTACTGGTCTATGTGTATGCTTTTGTATGATATACAAAGTAGTAGCATATCAGAGTCTCTTCTGACTTCCTTTAAAACCCCCCAAAAACATATTCTGTAGCTAAATATATTAAACCAAAACATTAGAGGATTTTTTTCAAGTAGACTCTTCAGATGGAAGTATTGAATACATTTTTCTTATACTGGCAACTTCTACGATTAATTTTGTGCTGCTTAAGGGCCCAATCTTGAAATCTTTGTTGTGGGCTGAAAGCTTATTTTTTTCTTTTTTTTACTGGTGCTGTTGGACTCTGTGGATGAAATATTTAGCTATGCCTGTTGGTCATAAACTATATTGCAGTATAGAGCTGGAAGGATAATTGTAACATAGTGATTTCATCTTAATACCTCGTTATATTGAAGGAAGTATTTTAAAGTAGCATTAAGATATTGTAACTTGATTTTAGAAGAAAAATACTCATCTGGATTAATTGAGATGACCAAATCGCATTATCGGATTTTTGAAGTGGCGTATTTTATGTGGTATTGCATGATGAACTATGTTCTTTACTTTGAATCAGAATATAGAACTGTCTTACAAATATTTTTAAATAAGTAGAACTGTCAGTATTTGTAGATGAACAAAGGCCTACTTTAAAGAAACTCCCTTCATTTTTGTATATTTTTGATATCTTTGTCCTATCAGCATTTAAAAAAATGTGTAAGGCTGTATTGATGGTTTTCCTGCTAGTATTGATTTGCCTGCTCTTCCTTGTGTAACCCATATAATTTAGAGTATTATGTGACTGCAGTAAGTTAGTAGTACTTTAGTGTGTTCCCCTAACTTCCAAGCCACATGGAATGGTATAAACTGCGGTATCAAAAAATAATATACAAGAAATGACTCTTTGTTGTTGAGGAATACTTTTGGAGAGTATATTTCCCATTTTTTATTTCCAACCTTTAAAGGCTGAAAAACTTTAGGAATGAAATCTATCATACCTTACTCTGCAGAGTATACCAGTTCAACTCACTAATAAGTTGATTAACTTTATTGCTTTGCACTTTCAGAATAATTCCAAATTTTGTACTTTGTAACCAACTTAATTATCTGTATAATAAAATTAGATGTTAAAATTTGCTCAGGTGGTTTATCCACACCAGAATTCTGAATCTCTGTTCTTCTTGGCTTTTTTTTTTCCCACAGCTCTTAGTTCATTAGATGAGAGAGAATTAAATCATTTTTTGTAATTGAACAAGTGCTATTCCTGTCTAGAAAAAAAAGACAGAGAATTTACAACCTACTGAATGAAAAATAACTGAATGTTATTGTAAACTTTGTCATTTTTATCTAAGTTGTGTCCTGTTTTGTTTTCCTAACCGCTAGGGAGAATGTTCTGTAGCCTAAAATTACGATAGTCCGAGATAAGGGTGCTCTATTTCTTTGAGTATATGCCTGTAGAGTCTGAAACAATAAACAAATAATTCAGAATTTCAAGGCTGCTATCCTAAGTACTTTGCTAAAGAGTCAAATCAACAGTCAATTATAAAATGTGTTTAAGTGCAGAGCTGAGCAAACCCAATATACAACAGCAAGAGCCAGTCCTGCAACTTGCAACGTGCTCCATAGGTCACTAGCATGTGAAGAAGTTTAATGTATTGATTGATGTAAGGTTGTGTATATTTGGATCTGCCGTTGAATATACTTATATGTTTGATCTTTGCTTTTATTTCTTGACACTTTTTCCATTAAAAAAAAACCATGGCAACATCGTTGTTCCATTTTTAAATAAAGACATAGCAGGAATTTTATAGATCAAGTCCTCACTGTAGCTATAGCACCCTCCTGTATGCCATCAAAAATGTTATGTGCAAAATGACTTTATTTGTGCCAAAGCTATTTCTGTTGCAATTCAAATGAATTTATGGCACATATTTAGTGACTCTAAATCGATAAATAATGCAAGTGTTGGAAGCTTTTTTTCATGACCTTCCATCAGATTTCTTCTTCTCCTTCTCTGTCTTAATAACTCTAATCTTCATGTTCTGACAATTATAAATAGAACCTGTTGGCATAATTATTCCAAAATAGTGAACCAACTAAATAATTAGCTGAAAATAATGCTGTAGTCTCACTGAATTAGGCTGTTCTAATTTTAAAGTATACTTTGGTAACTATATTTGAGTGTGTGAATTAACTTTTAATGTGCATTTTTAATATCTAAATGTACGTTCTTCATTCAAAACTAGCATGTATGGTTTGAGAACTCTGCTAGATGTTGTAATAGTATGAAGACATTTTATGAAGAATCACTGTAGTGTTATAGATTAAAATAAACTGACTTGGGAATTTGGTTTCAGGCAAACAGGGAACTGTTGCTAGTTGCTTCTAGCTGATTATTTAACTTTGGATTTTGGATGGCTATCATGAATATTTTGTTGGAAGTACACACTAAAGAAAATATATTTTTGTTATGTTAACTTGCCAGATTATCGACTCCCAGATTCACATTGTGACACTTTTTAATGAAATCTAGTGCTAGTATCCTGAGATTTTAGAATTTTCTAAGACTTTAGTGCTCAGCTACTGGATTAGTCTCTCATACAGAGGATTGCAATAGTGCTTTTGCATAGAGATGAATGTAGGGCTAACTGGAAATTATATTACACGTGTCTGGAGCATTTCATATTTGTGCACATTAAAAAGTGATCTGAAAGTTGGCCTCTAGTTTGAATTGCTTCGAAGCCATCAAAACAAATAAAACTCCTAAAATGAGTGATATTGGCTCATTATTTATGAAAGAGACTGCAAAACAGACACAAAAGCATAAATTATATAAATTGTGTATTTTGCTTTATTTGAATAAAGGTCTACTTAGGAGTGTTTGTTTCCTATTTAAATCTTGCAAAATGTGGAAGAAACTCCCCAAATTGAGAAATGTATTTATCCTTTTCCTAATTTTATACATTTTTAATATGTGAGGCATTTCACAAAGACAGACTTAGTTGCTCAGTCTGTACGGGTCTTGCGTTTGCGTTGGCAATTAAGCAGCCGTCAGTACACGAAGCAGGTGACTACAGGGAGGGCCAATGTCACCACCAGGGACTGGTGCTTAAACAGGGAAATGAGCAGCAGGAGCAACTGAAATACCTTCAAAATAATCATCCTCCTTGTCGTGCAGGTATTCCATTTTTATACAGCGTGCCTTGAGAATTGAAATAAGAAGTAGGAAGGAGAATGCAGATACAATGACTGAAAACGAAACATTCTCTTTAAATCATGATGCAGTCTCAGTTTGCTGTGAATTCTCTGCATATATACAAATATATGCTGCCAAAAGGCTCGCTGTAGTGGGAAGTGTGTTTAGGTTCAGAAGACGGTAGTACGCATTTTTTGAAATACGGTTGTCAGGAATGAAGTTGACTTCTAGTTTGTGGAATTGACTTTTTAAATACATTTGAAAAAGTGCACACTGTGATGTTAGCTGCAGTAATTCTTACGCTGTTCTGTTTTGTGTGAGCAGTGTAGATTTCTTACAGGGGTACAGTAGGATGTGGGAATGACAGATCATGCACAGTACTGGGTTTGTTTGGTAGGTTGTGTTTTTGGGACTTTTTTTGTACATACCCTGCCGTTTCAGAATTCTCATCTACTCATTATTTTTGCAGTGAAGATAAAAAACGCCATGTTGTTATGGATTCCCTTATGTATATTTGATTTATAAATTATCACATTTGTTGTATTTCTATTTTGTTGATTGGTATCTCGTGGCAAAACGAAAAATGTTGTAAATTGCAGGACTAAGGCAGAGGTGGCTTGTTTGGTCTTAAGCAGAATACAGAAACATACTCACTGATCTTTGCTTGAGGACTTTCCCAAGCTTTCTTAACACAGTAAATAAAACTAGACATTTCAGAAAGCATTTGAATTAAATAGTTAAATTCTGATTTTTTTTTTAGCTAGTGTTCCAGGTTCTGAGGGTGATGTTTTATCCAGTAAGATGCTGACAGCCCTACAGAACTTCACCTTATGCTTTTTTCATGGCAGCTGAAGTTACTGGCATTACTTAATTACTAATACTTTTCACTGAAAGACTTCAGTTGAAAAAGTGCCTGTTGAGTGCTGTTACTTAAAGTATTAAAGAATAGACAAAACCTCGAAAGAAATGTTTACACTGTAGCAAAGAAATACACTAAATACATAGATTTGTTTTTATAAGCCCTAAGCGGTTGTTTTAAGCAGCTTTTTCTGATGACTGTGGTATTGCTAGCAGTGTGAATGTGCTGTGTTTGTAAAATGCCAGTTCACCGGTTCCATTGAAGTCTACTAGAGAATCAGACATTATTCAGTTCAAAGGAAAGTTACTAAATTGCTGAAAAACTTAAGGCAGAACCAGAATCTGAGTATTTTACTGATATTTCTTAGTAGCTTAAAATAAAAATCTTAGGAAATGATGAAGGGAGAAGTACAGAATGATGCTGCTGGATACTTTTTTTTTTTTTCCTCTGGTAACTGAAGGTTAAATGAGTAGCAAGCAGAATGCCTTAAACAAGATTGGTATATTGATTAAAACGCTGATTTAACAGCTCGCTTTCTCCCTTTGGAAACCTGGAAAAGATAAGCCAGCTGCTGTCTAAGAGTGCTGAGTGTCCACTGAGAGTACACTATCTATCATCACAATATGGTGATGAGAGGTGTTTTATGTTTGTGTTAATTTCCCCCACTAAATCAGTAATTATTACAATCCTGTCCCTGCTGTTTACCCTGCAGCTGTTTTTCCATTTGTCGAGAGAGCGAGTGTTCTCAGAGGACCGCACACGCTTCTATGGTGCAGAAATTGTCTCTGCCTTGGACTATCTGCATTCTGGGAAGATTGTGTACCGTGATCTCAAGGTAAAAAAAGAAAAAGAAAAAAAGTAATCAAATTTTTGTGTTTGCAGGGACTGTTGGGACAAACACAAAGTAATTATAAAGTTGCCCTATTCAGAGTTAATGGGGAAAAAAAAAAAAATCTGTGTTCGGTTTAAAGGTCTGCATGTGCTGAAGGAAGCTGTTTGATACAGTAGTCTTCAGATGTGTACATTACTTGACTTTAACTTGATTGGAAAAGGAAACAGCGTATCACAGTAATAGCATTTTGAAAGAGTTTTAAACTTCTGATCCTTTCTCCAACCCCCTCCCCAATTACTTATAACTTGACTTGAATTTCAACACAAATCTCAAGTATAATTCTCAACATCCCCTAACAGGGGAAATGGGGAATTGGGACAGTGTGACTGTATTCTTTTTATCTCACCAAAAAGGTATGTTCTTGTGTGATTTGAAAATATTTAAAACAACTTGGAATACTTCAATAGGAAATTAATTTTGACCTTAATTTAAAAATTATTTTGTCTTTTCTGTCTTGGGAGAGATTCCTAATACTAGAGTGTAGTTTATCTTCCGTGTGCTTGCTTATGCAGTTGTGTATCCTCTGTTGCATGAAGTCCCAGGTACTCTCTGGCACGGTGTGACCATGTTCTAGGGAAGATAATTTCTGCTTTCAATGGTAACATTTTCTAACTTCTGTGGGAGGAACCTCTAAATTCCATGATGAGACTTTTATTTCTCTGAAAAACTTTTAACTTCATATACAGGAAATTTTGCTTTCCCATTAGGCATGAGCACTAGTGCGGTTCTTTTCATAGACTTCTTTGTACAGGAACTGAGGAGAAGGAGGCAATGATAGGCAAGTTCTGTTCAGGGAGACAGAAAACAAAAAACTGGGTTACTTGTTTATAGCAGATTCTATTGTGATGACATGAAATGCTCTGAAATCTTGGAAAAATAAGGATTTATCTGGTCAAGGAATGATAAGTCACGATTTTTGATTTAAATTTGAAATAAGGAAAGAGGAGTTTGACGTCAATGTTCTTCTGTTGCTGGTGACAGCTACTTTGTATCTTCTTGATAGAACACTGTTAGACTCAACAGAAAATATACCTTTGAACTGTATTTCAGGCTTTATGCAGATTTAGGAAGACAGGATTATGATTGTTCTTTGCTGGTACTTTCCCTGCACACTTTTTAATTAGGGAAAAAACCACACCCTTTTTCTGTTGAGAAAAGTTGTTCAGAAGTATGCATTACTTGGTTTTGGTTCTATCTGTATTTAAAATATTGCTAAAGAAAAACTTCTGGAAAGGTGATGTTAGCCATGCTTTTGAGATAGACCACGGTAAATACTGCAATAATTTTTGTTCATGTTCTTTAAATACTTCATAGCAGGCTATGCTCTGTTTTCGGATTTCAAAGCAAGAACTATGTATTTAAAAAGCAATGCAAAGCATACAGAGATATGCATGCACAATGCAAGAGCAGTGTCCTTTGCAAGTGTACAAGGAGGAACTTACTCCAGGATTTTGTTTTTATCAGTAGCCTCTTTACCCCCACTTTTTGTTTGTTATTAAAAAGATTGTGAAAGGTGCAGATATTTTAAGGATTTATGGTTATATACTGACTGTTCCATGACAGTATAGTAAGTAAAATGCATCTTGATAAAGGAAGGTCATGTTACAGCAAAAGAAGCTTCTGAAGTCTTACCAAATGACAGTCATGATTGTAACCTTTGAATTTCTTTATTATATGTTGAGAATATTTAGAAAATTATTTTGGTTTTGTTCTATGGAAGGTGCACCAAACTTGTAAAACTTAAAAATGAAAAGTCATGCTTTGATTGACCAGGGATTTACTATTGTAAACTGTATTAAACTATCAAATACTTATTTAAATTGTATAACAGTAAACATTGTTAAAAGCTGTAGTATAAAGGATGCTGTATTTTTTCCTAATTACAAACAAATTACATTCCAGTGCAAGTGATAAATCTGTATCTTCTTTTTTACAAAAGCGATGCATCAGTCTGTCCTGTTAATGAATACTGAGAGAACGTTTTTTTCCCTCAACACACAGTTAGAAAATCTAATGCTGGATAAAGATGGACACATAAAAATTACAGATTTTGGACTTTGCAAAGAAGGAATCACAGACGCAGCCACTATGAAAACATTCTGTGGTACTCCAGAATATCTGGCACCTGAGGTATGATTTAGAATATGTTCTTGTAATACAGTATAAAATGTTTATTTTTCATTTAATTTTAGACTGTGGTGTTTGTATTCTGAAAACTGATCATTGTGGTAAGAAGCTGACATTCTGCCTGATCAATACAAAGCAGTTGTTATTCAGAATTGTATGTGCTACTGTTCTTTGTGGTGATTGTATGCGTATTGATGCTGCCCTTCTTAGTGTTTAAAAAGGCCTCTAATGTGCATTTTGCTTCTCACGTTTGCCTTCCACTGTTAAAGTTTTTGTCTTCCAATGATTTCTTCAAAAATAATCTTCCATCTGTCTGTCACTTGGAACATATGATCCTGCTTAACTGAACTGTATAACTAGCGTTTATATAGCCTCAGTGGAGGCGAGGGGGAATAGGAAGGTACTGAGTTCGCTGGGTTTTACCCGAACTCCCCAGTTGCAGGGAGAGGGAGTTGGCATTTTAGACATTTCTGCTAAAAATAGTTCAGTGTACCAACCTCAGAACTGGCTGAGGTGAGCACCAAAAATTAACTGATTCCTAGTACGTAAGCAGAAGTGGCATGCCAGGGTCTGCCACCTCGTCTTTACCATTAGCTAGCGTTTGGAATGCTGAACATCACACTTCTTGAGGATTGGTAGAAAGATGGACACAAGGATATTGGTTTTGGTTCCCTTTGCCTCTCTCGTTTGGCCACTTGAGAATCTATATGGTAGCTCGTCCCACAAATGGTCTGCTCCAGTATTGGTGCCGACAGCTCTGCCACTGATGCCTACTAACAAAAAGCAAGGGAAGCACTCTAAAAATTGTCTTTTTGGCCTGTCTGGCTTCAGTGAGCAGTACTGATTGTGGTGCTCAGAAATGCCCTTCTGCCTCTCTCCTGGAGTTCCCGAACACAACTCCAGTATTCACATAAAACCATTTTTATTTTTTTTACTTAATGCCAAGGATTTTATGGATGCTGTATTAGGTTTTGTTTCCATTCTTCTCAAGATTGCTCACTGGCATAGTACACGCCTGATACTGAAACAACTTTGTGGTCAACCTAGAGGGCTTTACAAGGCCCATCAGTCCTGCTGTTTGTTTAAAGGAGGATTCTTCAAGGACTTCCCTACCTCTTGCAGCAACTCAACACTGCCAGACAGTCTCTATTAGGTGTCATCTTTGAAGAAGAACGTGCCGTAGTTTGAAGGGAAAAGGTGAGGAGGCACTGATTCAGCACGGCTCTTTATTTTCAGGAGTATTGAATCCTGAGTAGCAGCAGTGAGCTCTGGAACATACTTCAGCAAGCAAGTTTAGATTGCCTTTCATGCTTCCAGCAGGGAAACATCAAAGTAGCTAAGCCAGGGTAAGGTGGATCTCTTCCTTGCATGACATCCTCTCAGGTGAAAGTGTCCTCGTGGATCCATATGGAATTATTTCCCAAGCTGTTTTCAGAATTACTCTTAATCAGAAAATAAGCATACCTGTTGCTATGTTTTCCCCATGAACCTTATGTTTCTGAGATGGAAGTAGTCATTCCCACCCCCTGCTGTAAAGGCTCGTTTATCTCACGTTGCAAGGGCACAGTTTCATACAAGACCCGAGGCTGGCTTGAAAGATCCAGAAAAAAGCCAAAAAGAAAGTGGACAGTGGGTCACACGCTAAAAAACGCAGTGAGATTACCAGGCTAGAGCCACTTTTCATCTTTGGAGCTAGAATTACTTCTCTGGACCATTGCTGATTTATTTTTTGTGGTGCCCACCTGGCAGTTTATGTGTACCTTCACCAAGCACTGTGCTCTTACAGGGGAATGCAGGGCTTCCAGCTAAGTGGTTGCACAGACACATTCCCTTCCTGTTGTCCTCTGCTAGTCTTTCCCTGTTATCTAATGCCAGTATTCTACAGTTTAAATAAAACTAAAATAGCACTGACTCTGCTTGTTTTACAGTTATGTGCCAAGCATAAAAGATGGTAGAGTATGAATACATCCTCTAGGGAGAAAATATTTGTCACTGTCAAATAGCAGGCCTTATATATACTTACAGTGCAGATGTACATTTTGGTCACAATTATGGAAGAATAAGAAAGTAACTTTTTATTTGTGAAATTTTAAAGTAATTTGAGAAATAATTTGGTTATCTGAGAAATAGTGAAATCCCTTTATTATCTGCAGTAAAACTAATATTTTTTTTTACAAGTCTAATTTTTTTTTTCTTCTGGTGTGTGTAAATGTAGTAGTAATACTTAATATTTCCCTCTGTTCTAAGAATTTGCAGTATTGGTCTTTTTAAATGTGTGCGATATTTTATAGTTTCTCTTTCTTAGTAGTTTTTCAGGATGAAGAGACTGTTTCTTACGAGTCTATTTCCATAGTTATCCTTCAAAGGAAGCTGTCACGTTAGAGATCATTGTGGTGTCAAAGAATGAACATAGATCCAATGAGAAAAAGATGAATTGTGAATCCATTTAGGAAACACAGATGTATACTTCATTTTTTTCAGAAAAAAATGATGAAATGTTTCTTTTGCAGATTTGCAGTGGCAGAGGCAGGACAGGACCATATGTTTTTTCCAGACAGTATAACTTGCTTAATAAAGAAAGACTAAAACTGAGAAAGTTCTTGTAGTTTTAAATATACCTGTGAGACTTTTAAAAGCAGTTTGATACTTTTCACTTGATCATCAAGGATCAAAGACTTTCTGTTAAAGATACAGACCTCTACAGACTTTCTTTAATAGAACACCCCGGAAATGAAGCTACTTGTGCAGGGAAATGAAAGTTCTTGCGACTCCGGTCATTAGTAAGGGTAATTTCGTATATGAGATTTCAGGTTTTGGTTCTCTGCATTTCAGTTCAAGTTCTTAGGACTAAATGTGTACAGTCTTATTTACAAAAGGGCATTTACTGTGGCACTAAGTTTTGGTGTCAAGGTAGATACCAGAAATTCATTTTGAAGCTTTTAATCATTTTAATAACAGGAGAGATGTTTTGGTTATGAGCAAGTCTGGGAGGTACTTTGTGGATAATCATTCAAATGACTCTTCATAGTTGTAGATGGTCAGTGATATTTTGGTGTAGGACCTCATTAAGGTTCATTAGCATGAAAGTACAGATTAGGTGAATGAACGTATTCCTATAACAACAGTAGTCTTTCATTTAAAAAAAACATATAGAAGGACCATTTCAATAGAGTTCACATGGTTACTATCACTTAAAGGTACGTGACAAGAAGAGTAGAGTAGCTTCATAGCCTTTGTCCATAGGCATGAGAAGATCTGCATGTCTTATAAGTTATTTTAAAACATGAGCAGTGGAGATTAAAGAAATGCTAAGATCAGTGGCACAGTGCTTATTTGGCCTGTGGGGTTTTTTTTGTGATCTTTCTTTTGGAAACAGAGTGAGAGAGATTGTGTGTCATCAATTATTTCTCTTAAGTTTTATCTCAGAGAAATGAAAGATAAAGCTCTTTTATCAAGAAGCAACTGCTGTCTTTCCTCGCTTTTCATTCAGTTTCTTACCTACAGCTTTCCTTTTTGAGAAGCATATGGCTTTGTTGTAGGGGTTACCCAAAATCTAGAACTTGGCCATTTAAGTTCAGTGGCAGATTTTCGGCAAGGACAAGTGTGGTACCCTGAACTACAGGCATGATTATAGAAAGAAAAAAACAATCTTCCCTTGATTACAGGAATTGAAGTTGAATTTTCTAAGACTGTTGTGGTGTATGCAGATTATAAAATGTTGGGGTAGAGGCAGAAAAAGTGCTTTGTCCCTGGTTCACCTGTGCATTTGCTTCATTCTTTTAAGCCTCTCTTGTTAAAAAAATATCCTTGATCAGGATGTTTGCTAAAGGCAGTCTGGTGAATTTTTGAACTGAGACTATGATGATACCACACAGCTCATCTGATACAAGTTGAAACTAAGTGATAATAAGCAGAGAGGGAACCAATGAAATGCACCTAGACAAACTAGCAAGGAAATCAATGTTTTCAGGTTTCGCAGGCCTCATAGCAAAGCAGCGTTCGACACAGGGATGTTAATGCAGATAGAAGTTACACTGTGAATGTTACGGAAGAGCTTCTTCAGGTGTGAGGCAAAGCCTGATGATGCTTGTTTGGAAAGAACTTGATGAAAGTAGCCAACATCATGGATAAACTGAGGCAGGCCAATTGAGAGAGGTGAGCTACAGTGAAGATATAAAAAGAAAAGCAGACTATACTACAGAGAAAATGGATTAGTATAGGTAATAAAGCCAAGGCTTTTTTTTTTTTTTTAAATGAGGGAGAGAAAAGAATTTGAGTGAAATAAAAAGGAGGATGGCAAGTGGAGTTAACAGGAGGTAAAAGGAATTAATGAAATGAATCTAATGATCTCACAAGTAGATTGATAGGCCAAAAAGCAGAGGTCAGAGATGAGGAGATTTTTCTTACGGGGGGAAAAATGTGGTTGTGGGCAGGAAAGAGAGTTTGGACTAAAAACAATTATGCTATTTTGTGAAGTTCTCTTAATATAAACTAATAGAATGTTTTGCAGACAGGCACAAAAGGCAGGAGAAATTGATGAGCAACGTAAAATGAAGAGGAGCTTGGTGGACAGTTGTTTGGTTTAGAATATAGAGAAACTAAAGGACGGAGTAATTTTTGTCACGGCTTATGCAGTTTCCTTTTAATCTCCCTTTGCTTTAAATTTCATTTGAATTTAAAGAAAATGAGGCACTGAAGTAATGTACTTTTTAAAGTTCTTTTATGTAAGTAATAGATATTTACCATTATTTTCCACCTCTAGAACCACTGGATAGAAAAGGTAAATAGGGGAAAAGGGAATTTGTGGACAATGGCACAGATTTAACAGGTAGCAGCTGTTAGGATGTTGCTAGATGGGACTTGCATTCACAAGGCTTTAAGACCAGTAAGAACTTGTACGAGTTGGACCAATACTGTGAAGCGAGACTGGAAGAGAAACTTTATGTTAGGCTTGGTCTTCCATCATGCTCCAGAGAGCAAGTGCTCACTCATATTCGATTGCC